CCTCTCTCTGTGGTAGATGCTCAGGTCTGGACTACACAAGCCCCCCCTAAGCTCAAAGAAACACTGCACTCTGCTGCAGTGACTGCAACAACCATCCTGTCAGAGTTCCTGGAGTGCTATTCTTCAGATAACTGAGGAAAACATAAATATTAGATGAAAGAAAAGGTGGTCTCTTACCTGGGCAGGGACCTTGGCTCTGGAGCAGCAAGTCCATTTGCTTCTCACACCTGGCCTTCTTCAGCTCACACTCGCTGGTGTATGTAGTCCCATCAGAGCCACACACCTGCAGATGTTCACGGAGAGGTTAACTCGGTGCGATTAATGGATTCAATAAGATTTAGCACGTTTTAACCAGTCAAATGCCTGGGTGGCACTCTCTTCGATTGGAAATGGCGATGTGAGAGGCATGTGAGTGGACATACTGGGCTGCGTGGCACTGTCTGACAGTTGAAGTCACACACGCAGCGGTCATCTTCCGTGTCGTCATCCCACGATCCGCCGTATCGTTGACAACGATCCTGCTCGCAGGTTTCAGATCCTGAACCTGAGCCTCCTGATCCGCAGTCTGTTGGAACAAACACATATACACTTTTTTATTTCAAGGACCCTGTACCCATGTACTATTTGAACTGTTCTTAAAGTAACTCAATCATTATACTAATACTAACTTAAACCCTTAACTCAGACACTTTAAAATATGAAATAAGACTATTTAGTCCATTTATGGATAGTTGATGCATAACTTTGTCAACATTAAAAGTTTAGATGATCTTTTTCACCATTTTAATATTTTTTTTTGCCTTCACTTGCATTTTTAAATGTGAGAAGATTTAGAACATTTATGGGTGGTTAATGCATAACTTGTGTGTCAATATTTCATTTTTAGATGATGTTTTTATCTTCATTAGTTCACTTGTGATAAAAAAATCTAGTGATAAATGCAGTTTTAAAATGACAAATATTCCATCAATCTCTGCAAAATCTGTATAAAAATACATATAT